CCTTAAATTCTCATCCAAATCATTAATATAAATGAGAAACAAAAGTGCACCATGTACCGATTGCTGTGGAACACCGCTGGTCACAGAACTCCACTCTGAAAAATCCTCCAGCACCACGTTCTCTCCTACAATTAAGCCAATTTTGTTTCCAACTATCAAGCTCTTCCTGAATCACGTGATCTAACTTTACTAGTCAGTCTACCATGTGGAACCCTGTCAAAGGCTTCACTCTCACTCTAGAGGTGCTGCAAATCTAACCCAATTCCCCTGCTATTTGTCCACGGCCCTCTTGATCATTCCTTGAAAAGTTAAATCCCAAATCTCTTGAGAATAACTGCTGAATCTGCATCCAGCTGCTATTCAGACTGTTCCAGATCCTGGGAACTTGCTGAGTCAAGTAATCTTCACTCTGTCTTTGCCAATTACCTGAATGTTGTATTCTGCGGTTACCAAACGTTGCCACAATGTTAATAATTTTTCTCTCTCTGCAAACTAATATCCTGGAAACAAATCTACTACTCGACTAAATCATTGCCAATCAGCACCAAGGAGAATTATCTGAGCTTCTGCTAGCTCTCTCCAAACCAGAAACCCATCATAATTTTAATTTACTTATGGGATGTGGTCTTTGCTGCCCAGACTAATATTGATTGCCCATTTTTATTTGATTTGGAGAAAGTGGTGGTGAACCACTTTCTATAACTGCTGCACTCCACGTGCAGTAAGTACACCACTGTGCTGTTTAGACGATAATCCGCCCTGAAGCCTCACCACCCTCTCTATCGCAGGAATCATACCTCAAACCTCACTACCCTCTCTATCATGAGAATGACCATCGAGCCTCACTACTTGCACTATTGCAGGCATCACCCTCGAGCCTCACCACCCTCCACATTGCTGGAATCCCTCTCCAGCCTCACAACCTGCCTATCGTTGGAATCCCCCTCTAGCCTCAGAACTCTCACCATCTCTGTACATTCCTCCAGTCTCACTAACCTCCATATCCCTGTAATCTCCTCCAGCCTCAAAACCCTCCTATCTCTGGAAATTCCTCCAGCCCATATAAACTTCCTTCGCTCTGTAATTGTCTTTACCTTCACAAACCTCCCTTTGTTTGAAAACTAATCCAGCCTCACAATCCTCACCATTTCTGTAATCTCCTCCAAAATCACACTTTTCCCTATTTTTGTAATCTTCTCCAGTCTCAGAATCCTTCCTGTCTCTAATATCCTCCAGCCTCACAAATCTCAATGATATGTGCTTTCCTCTAATACAGTGCTTATGATGATACCCGATTTTTATTCCTTCACTTGATGGTGGCACTTTCAAGTTCCTGGGCTTCAAGCTCCAGAATTTCCTGGTAAACCGCTTCATCTCTACACCTCACTTTTCTCCCGAAAACATTGACCAATCATGAGTCATTTATTCTAATATCTCCTTTTCTGAAATAGCTTGAAATATTGCTTGGCATCTTCCTCTATGAAGTATCTCAGAGGTCTACAGTACAGAAAAAGTCTCTGTGGCCCATCCAGCCTGTGCCAGTTAAAAACCACCACCTAACTATTCTAATCTAATTTTCCAGCACTTGGCCCATAGACTTGTCTGCGTTGGCATCACAAGTGTGCATCTAAATATGTCTTAAATGTTATGAGGATCTCTGTGTCTACCACCTTTACAGACAGTGAGGATCAGTGCAATTGTCACAGCATAATGACATCACAGACAGGAACAGAGACACGCTGAGTCTGTGCAAACCAAAGATCACCCACACATTGTGAAGGATGGG